TTTTTATTTGTTGATTTCAAAATATATATATATATATATATATTATATGTATCGTAAAGGTATAAATAAAATTAATAAAAATTTAAAAAGACTCCTTATTTTCTTAATTAAGACCGCTATAGAACGTAATTTTATTATGCAAACAGTTCTCATCCTCCTTCCTGCCTTAGCTTTGAAGGGAAGAATCTTATCATGTCACCTTTTAATTTATAAACTGATAAACAGAAATGGACTGTTGAAGAGAATCTTCCCTTTGACATTAATGGATTTCTATGCACGACACGACACACAGATATATTTTTTTCCCTCACTTTCTAACACAGAGGTGACCCCTTAATTGGATTCCTCAATCAAATTTTTAGTTATTTATTTATTACAACTTGGGCTCTTGGGATTAGGAGAAAAAGACAAAGTTAATTTCATAATTAATTTTCTTAATCATAATTTAATTATATACTAAAGCTAGCTTGGAAAATTGATACTTTTATGCCACACCCACCATCCTTATTTATTAGTGTAACGTCGTTTCTGAAAAGCTGAACATGACCGTGTAAATTAATATATGTGTTATGTATATATAGATAAAAGATAAAAGAACCTGTTAACTGTCAATTTAAGATATAATTATATGTATATTCCATTAGTAAAGCATGCACTAATATTTGTGATCATGCTCGATAAATAAAATTTACAAAATGGAGGTATAGATGCCACGAGGGTAATATAAACTAATAATTTTGTATATTATGATCATACGCTAAGCTTAATCTACATTATATAACAACTTCCTTTGTTTTTTTTTTTAATCTTTTTAATTTTTTAATTCTATAGTGAAATTATTCTTAAGATCAACTTTAAGCCTTAATTAAAATTAAAGTTGAATCTTTGGGGTTCTATTTAGTTAAAGGCATTGTCAATTAAGATTTGACAAACCCGTAGAATAATTTCAAATATTTTATAGAGAGATTAAAATGATTCTAGCTGTTTTTTTTTTCTTTTTTTTTTTTTTAGGTTTAAAAAATTTTAAACATACATTAATATTATTTCAAACATAATTTAAAAGTATTAGAGATTAAAAATAATTAATTTATAATATTTAATGTAATATAATTAAGATTTAATTTGCATGTGATTAATTTATATTAAATTTTAGTAAATCTAATATGTTTTTAAATAAATAAAAAAATATTATATAATAATTAAATTTTTTTAATTAAAATAATCACAATAAATTAAAAATTTTACCTAACGGTCCATTAATTATTAAAATATTGAAGATTTTTTATTATAAGAAATTTGTTAAGTAAAGCCACGGGGACTTAGAGCTAGCTTGAAAGCAAGCACAACGACAAAAGTTTGATAAATAAAATCAAAATAATTATAATGTTTCAAAAATAAACGGTTAATTTTATTGAATATTTACTGTCTTATTATTTTTTAATAAAATCTAGAAACAATTTTTTAAAATTAATTGAATTTGTTGGAATTAGTTTTAAAACCTCCATGTAATTTAGCTTTATTTTATAAAAAATATTAAATAAAAATATATTCATAAATTAAAATTTCTAAACGGAAATTCACAATATTATTTATCAAAAATACAAAACTAATAAAAAAATGTCAAACCGAACTCAACTGCCACAACACGTGTGTACGGCTTTCTGAACTCGACGCACGTGTGTTCCTCCTTCCTCCGCGAGGACCTCAACTCAAACTGAACGACCACAGACTCCAAACCCGGCGCTTGTGAAAAACTCTGGTTTCTCGTCCCTGAAAGTGAAGACAAACGCATGATAGAACATGCTTTCACTGGCTTTCATTGTCCTCCTTGTTTCTGTCGTGTTGCAGAGCTCATTTGTCAATAACTGGGCTTCGTTGTCAATAAAAGAAACGATGGAGTACGTATCAGCGATTGGAGACCCTGGAATGCGGAGCTACAGTGTGAGAGTTGCCATGGAAGCTTGGAATTTCTGCAATGAAGTTGGCGCGGAAGCACCTGACATGGTCAGCCCCAGGTGGGCTGATTGTGCCGATTTGTACTGCGCCTTCATCTCTGGTAATTCGCTTCGCATTGTGGTCTTTGAATCGGGAAATAACATGATTTCTTTTTCTGCACGCCATTTGTTTGATAAAATGTTTCTTCGCAGACATTCTTGGTTTCTTGAGTCTGTTAGCTGAGACAAATTTATGGACCAAAACTTTACCTTTTTGGGTTGCTTTAAGAAAACCCATGTAGCCTTTGGAGTAACTTCATGCTAACAGAAGAGAATTTTAATGGAGGAATCTATTTCATGTGATTGTGAGAGGGTTCTTTTTTTAAAAAAAAAAAAAAACTTGAGAAAATATGTTCTGTGTGCATCAACTGAAGAACAAAATACGAAGATAACCGGTGTGCTTTCATGATTTTAATGGGTAGTTTTCCCAAGAACTGCTAAATGATCCTTTTAATTTATGAAATTTGAAGTAATTCCTGTGGACAACAGTGAAGCAACATCACACCAACCTTTGTCCTGCTTGTCATTTTGTTAATTTAAAACTTGATCTGCTTATGGATTTATGTTGATGAGTTTTCCACAAAATATGAGGCCCGGCCAGGACATTGTTATTGCTTGCATTTTCTACAAGCACACTATCTGAACTCAGTCTAAGGTTCTATATTCATTTTTATAGCTTGTCTTGCTAGCTTCATACTCGAATTTTCAGATTCTTTGGGTCACAGGCATATTGGTAGTCAGCGTAAGTGCGAAGTGCATCACAAGGTGAAGGACTCTGATAACAGCTTAGGTACAGGTGATAATTTTCCCAAACCAGGTTTTAAGTCTTATACAGATCATGATCTGTATGCAGTGGAAAAGGAATTATTTCTTGGTTCTTTGTGTGAGTCAGACAGTTCTTCAAAACCATGGCATTTTTGGATGATTATGCTCAAAAATGGGAATTTTGACAAGAATACTACACTATGCCCGGAAAATGGGAAAAAAGTCAGTAAAATAGTGACAGATAGAAACTTTCCATGTTTTGGGCAAGGCTGCATGAATCAGCCATTGGTATATCATAACTCATCTGAACTGGTTGGTTTTGGGGACAAGATGGTATCTTTAAGCGGAGGATTCTATGGAACATATGACCTTGATGCCGACTTGAGCAAAGGTGTAGGGAAAAACTCCTTCTTTCAAGTCTCGTGGCACAAGAACATGAGCACAGGGAGTTGGGTTTTCTCACATGTTTTGACAACATCCGCAAAGTATCCATGGCTAATGCTGTATCTTCGTGCAGATGCAACAGAAGGATTTAATGGTGGCTATCATTATAATGGGCGTGGCATCATGAGAAAGGTTGTTGTTTGGATGAAATTTTGACTTGCTACCTTTATACTTTTCTCTGATGAGTGCATGTTATGCATGTTCGATTAAGTTTATTCTTCTTTTACCTCTCATAGTTGGTCTTAAATCTCTACGAAATTGATGAGATTTTATTTGAAATTTTATTGCTCTTCCTTTTTTTCCCTTAAGATTTGGAACACATTCTGTTTAATGAAAGAATTGGGAGATTATTATGACTGCTATGTTCCTCATTTTCCACTAAGTTCTAGTTAATTACCTGAATTAGCATTGTCAAAGCATGACCCTTTTAATTGGATTGTTGCTCAGCTGCCAGAGTCTCCAAAATTTACGGTGAAATTGACACTTGATGTTAAACGGGGGGGAGGAGCCAACAGTCAGTTTTATCTCATCGATATAGGAAGCTGTTGGAAGAACAATGGAGATCCATGTGACGGAGATGTTTTGACTGATGTAACTAGATACAGTGAGATGATAATTAACCCTGAAACTACCAGCTGGTGCCGCCCAAATAATTTGGCTTCATGCCCACCTTATCACATTAGTCCTACTGGTGAGATGATCTATAGAAATGAGACTACTAGGTTTCCGTATTCTGCTTACCATCTCTATTGTAGCCCAGGAAATGCTGAATATCTGGAGAAACCATATGATATCTGTGATCCATATAGCAATCCACAGGCACAGGAATTAGTACAGATTCTTCCACATCCTGAATGGTCAGTGCATGGATACCCTGAAAAGCAAGGAGATGGATGGATTGGTGATCCTAGGACTTGGGAGCTTGATGTTGGTGCTCTTTCCAGTCGCTTATATTTCTACCAGGTACTTTTCTTTCATTTGCTTAAGTATCATCTGGAAGCATTTGACATAACATGATGAAACGTAGCATTTACTTAAAGTTAGGGATATTATTCCTGCGATTTTGAGAATTTTTAACACTACTTATCATTGTTAAAATGACTACTTATCATTTTTAACGCTACTTATCATTTTAACACTACATATTGATGCAGCAAAAGCAAGAACCTAGCATGCACATTGAATCACTATCATTTTTCCAAGGGCCTAATCTTTCTAGATCCGTCTTACCAATATGTAGAAAGAGCCATTGAGGTCATTGGTCACCCCCTCCTAACAATACATCCTCTCAATCCGAAAGTAGATCCTCATTTAATTATGCCAGGAAAAAGAAAGGAGATGATGATTCCTGACCCACTTGGTAGCCAACTGCTTCACCTATTCCCCTATATGTAATTAAAAAATTTGGCAGTATATATTCTTACTATACGCCCTCATATATATGCCTGATATTTTGAACCTAGCATATAAGCTGAAACTTTTCTAGGGCATGGAAGTCCTATGGCAATTTAAACTTCACACATCGTTACAACCAAAAAACAAGCACGAAAGTTCACTAGCGAGCAGAAAGAGGTATCAGCCAAAGAGATCTTGACGAGTTTTTCTACAAGTTGAAGCTCTAATAATGGGCTTTCTTATGAAAAAAAGAAATGTGAGGCAAAGAAATAGTAGTAGTTAATGGAAAGGTAAAAGTGATTCTTGTGGCTTGAATTGTGAATATCTAGTTCTCATACCATATAGAATAATTAAGTTGGAGAACCTTTTATGTTAAAAGTTTAAATTAACATAAGGAATATTGTCTTATATTTTTATATTATATTATTAACATGTGAAGTAGGTTAAAAGTTTAGTTTATATTTTCATGATTTGGATGTTGGCTTCTGATTTCAATCTATATTAAAGAAAAGGTGCTTCTTTATTCTTTTGCTGCTCAGAATCCAGGAACAAAGCCAGCAAGGCGAATATGGTCTTCAATCAATGTTGGTACAGAAATATATGTGAGCAAGACTGGGGAAACAGCTGAATGGACTGTAAGTGACTTTGATGTGCTTGTTCCAAAAGATGCTTCTTGTAATGGAGAAAACTCTTATTAGCCTTTTGCCAGTATGCTTGGATCTCACTCGGGAAACTAAATCACTTGAAATTACATAAAAATTATTATATCATTTTTTTTAAGTGGCTCTCCTCCTATGGTGTATTCTTTTGCTGGAATGGTGAAAAGGTACAAAATACTTTCATAGCATCATTTTCTTTATTGCAACACATGATGTATAGATAAGATGTTTCAATATAAGAAGGAAGTTAGAAGTACCGATAGTCAGACACATATAAAGCCTGGGAGGATAATCAGGTTTTTCAGGTACCGTCTTCCCCAGTCTCCTAATAATTGGTTTCAAGAAATGGATAATCAGTGTGACCAACTAGAGGATCATGTTTGTGGAATCACTTATACTTATTCAGTGGAGCATCCAAGCTTGAATCTCTTTTGCAAATCTGGATTAGCCAGTGAACAAGTGACCACAAGGGAAAAAGTCTGCAAGGTTCACGGCCACAGCTTTGTTTCCATCTTCCCTGTCATAACCCCAGCACAATAAAAGTAACCTTTAGAGCCTTTCTCATGAAAAAGGTTAATAGTAAAAAATCTGAAATTGTATTAATGACTAAAAATGCATCAATTGACATAGGATGCCATCATTGATATTACAAATTATTCTCAGAAAAACTATTGATACTACAGATATTACTATAAGCCACCAAGAAGCAAAATTTACCTAGATAAGCGGATATTCAACTCCTCCGTCTGCCTAATTTTGGGTTTCAAGAAATGGGTAATCAGTGTAACCAACTACAGGATCGGGTGTGTAGAATGTATGCCGGTTGTACTTATTTAGAGGAGCATTAAGCTCAAATCTCTTTGGCAGATCTGGATTGGCTAAGAACAATCGCCCGAAGGCAACAAGGTCCGCCCGGTCCTCAGCTACAGCTTTATTTCCGTCTTCCCTGTCATAACCCCCTGCGACAATGAAAGTACCTTTGAAAGCCTTTCTCATGGGCAGAAGACTGTGGGGGCATTCGCATTTTTCGTTCACTGTTTTCATTCTAGGCTCAACCATGTGGCAGTAAAGAATCCCAGATCTATTCAAGGACTCAGCCATGTAGAGACCTAATTCTTTTGGGTTAGAGTCTCCTGATTCCATATAGTCTGCAAAAGGCGATAGCCTAATTCCAACCCTGTCTGCTCCAATCTCGTTCACGACAGCCTCAACAACTTCTAGAGCAAATCTGCATCGATTCTCTAGAGATCCACCATATTGATCTGTTCTATCATTCACTTGATCTTTCATAAACTGATCGATTAAGTAGCCATGAGCTCCATGGATCTCAACTCCGTCAAATCCTATTCATTTGAACAGTAATATTAGATCATTTACTGTACTTCATTTTGAAGGATAATATTTTTTAAATGAATTGACGTTCTCAATATGTTTGGTTTTAAGAGAGCAAAGAAACATACCAGCTTCCATAGCATTTCTTGCGGCAATTCTGAAGTGATCAACTATTTGGGGGATTTCATCTGTCTTTAGCCTCCTTGGAGGTGTGAATTCTGCAACATCAACGCCATTAGCTCGAATTTGAGGGGTCAATGGCTTGTCGGTACAAGAGATTGGTGGTTGCCCATTTGGCTGAAAACCTGCATGAAAGACATAGGACTAGAATGATCAAAATGAAAATAATCTTAAAAATCAGACAAAGTCGGGTGCATGTATTCCCTTCAACATCAAGTAAAGCAGAAGACCAACTAAACAAAGGTTTAACTGGAGCAAACCTGAATTCGAAACTCTCCCAACATGCCAAATTTGACAAAAGAAGATCCCACCCTTTGCATGAACAGCATCAACAATAGGTTTCCAGGCTTCCACTTGCTCTTTTGTCCATATACCAGGTGTCATTGGATACCTGCACATATCGAAGAAACCCAAGATTGCATCACTTTCTCAAGACGACAAAGGAATACAGCCAGGTTCACCTCTTTTGATGGAAGGAAACTTGACAGTCTGCTAGTTTATAGCTGAAATTACCCTTGAGCGGTGTTGGAAATCCCAGTGGCTTCAGCTATGAGAAGACCTCGTCGAGTGGTTCGTTGAGAGTAGTACAAGATGGCATGAGGCTGAGGAACATTGTTATAAGATCTTTGCCTTGTTAACGGTGCCAAAACAACCCTAAACGCCAGAAATCGAATGTTAACAGATAAAGCCTTGAATTATCTCAATGTAGTACAACAAGGGACTAGAGAGTAAGCCAGATGTTCAATCATACCAGAGCAAAGCAACTAACAAAATTAGTCGGATAAATTAAGTATAAATACTAGGAATAGTTTAGCCAATTCACATTTTCAAGACAGACCACATAATATTTAAAGTTTCAACCAGTCATTCTGATATTAAAACTAAAAAATCGTCAGAAACCAGTAATTCAAATAACAATTTGGCCAATTCACAGTTAAAAGTAGGCCCAAGAATATTTCAAGTTTGAACCGTTCATTATGATACTAAAACTGAAAAAATCATCAAAATTTAGAAGATGAATAATGCTAACAAAGTTAGTCAGATAATTAGATAGTAGTCCTAAGAAGAGTTTACCCAAGTAAAAAATACAAGAGAGATCCATTATATCTCGAAGTGTCAACCACCACTCTGATACCAAACTGGAAATAAGAAAGCAGCGAAATTTGGAAGATGGGTAGCTTCACATTTAACGGACTGCTTAATGAATTCTTGAAGAAAGGAATCATGGTTATCTCTCGTTTGCCATAACAGACTCAAACTTAAACCAGTTGTAGAACATGCTAAAAATCATTCACATGCAGGAGATTAGAAATAAAAAAAAAAATGGAGATTTTAACTCACCTATGAGAAAGATCGAATTTTCCCATCTTGTAGGGAGTGAGCAGTGGGATTGTGTTACCTGGCTGTACAGATTTGGTCTCCATCAAAACTTGCTTAATACAAGCTGCAGATACAATCTTTTGCAGGGAGAATAAAGCAATGTGAATCAGATTTTGGTGAGAAATGAAATGAAGATCTAGTTGATTTATCGGCCAGAGACCAGTTCCGATAAAAAAGATAAACCAGACATCAGCAGAACGAGAAGAATCGAATCACGTTTTTAGGTGCGTCTGCGGAAGTCGAGTCCACGATTGGCTCTGCCCACATGTATTGACTGGTAACGTAGATGATTACGTATGCCTTAAAAAGAAAAAAGAAACCAAGTTTTTTTGCAAAAAGTGTTTAATTGAAAAATTATAAATTTGCTAAAATTGATTAAAAAAAAAAAAAAAGATCCTACATTATGTCTGCGTTTGAGTATATTATATATTCTCCAATTTTGTTTATGTTTATTTTTTTTTTTAATATTATAGTTTAGTAGTTAAAATTATTATATTTTATTTAAAAATAATATATTTAAATTTAATTAAAAATTATAAGAATTTTGACTCAAAAATCAAATTATTAGAGACAAGAATCAAATAAAACAATCTCAAATTTTTATAACACAATTTTAAAAGATTTTTTTTTAGGAACATAAAATGAAATACAATTTTTTAAAACTTAAAGAGAAAATATTTTTAAATTAAAATTCAAAATTTAAGGTAGAATAAAGAGCAAAGAATATTTTACTGAAGTTTGTGCACGGGAGCGGGCAATGGGGTGGTAGCGACTGAGTAAAGAATTCACAAGAAACGGTGCGACGTCGTATACGTAAGATCAAACGGAACTAAAAAAACTTGTATTCAGTTCAAGAAAACATTGCAGCCAAACACGCCTTCTAATTTATTATTTAAACCCTCCTCTCAAAATTTATAATTTTTTGCAGAAGAAACAGGAGAGAGAGAGAGAGAGAGAGAGAGAGAGCTGCATCGGTCGTCAGCCATGTCTGCTTGTGTAATCCAACTACATATTCAAGATCGTTATGTAAATTCATTATATATATATATATATATTGTTTCTTTTCATTTCTTAAAAATTTTTATACCTATATAAATTTATGATTCTCCGGCCTAATTGTAACGCCCGAAAATTTGGAGAAAAAAAAAAAGTGAGGGGGGGGGGGGG